GGGTGCATTGAGTCTTCATATGGGACACAGCGAACTCAACTGCCACCAAAAAAATGTTGAAGAATGTGAGGTAGTGAAGTAAAGGGTACAACTTTCACATTGTTTAACAGTACTAGCAGTTCTGAACTCAGCACAGATGAGGGTACCTGCACCTGGTACAGCTAAACAAGGAATTCTGTCTATAAATTTTATCTAATATTGGCATTAACTGTATTTCATTAAGGAATTAACAAACATTTGCTTATGATCCAGATTAACTTGATGGATTGTTTGATTTCAGAAATCCTTCTGAATAGGCAAGAAATACAATGGCAAGCCACAAGGAATTAATAAATCTCCACATCCTTTTGCATCAGCAAATAAAGCACAAAACTAGGCAAGTGGTTCTACTTGACAAGCAAATGCCAAAACAGTGGGTAAAGGCCATCAACACTGAAAGGAACCCAGCAGTAAAATATATTTCTGAAATGTTTTCAAGCATTCTAGTTGGCTTTTTAGACAGACTGGAAAAGAAAGAAGAGACATTTATTCTTAGTATAAGTGAGATCTTAAGATTCTAATAATTATTAGTTCTAGAAAAAGAGTAGTAATAATGCAGTTGAAATTGTTGTACTCCTCTCCTGCTGTTAGTTCTCCCTTCCGCTGCTCCCCTGGATCTCTTGATCAGTTTCATTCCACTCTAGTGTGAAGGGGTGAGGACAGTGACTTTGTGAGAATTTGGAGTCCTTGGACAGAAGTAGAATATTCAGGTTTATTCTTTCTGCCCCCTCCTCTTGTTTCACCTTAAGATCATTTTAATCTTTGCAAGCACACTTTTCTACCTTTTTTTTTCTTCACGGCTTTGCATCTCTAATTCTACACCTGAATTTAGCATGTTACCTCTTAGACATGTCAGGTACTGTTTCTTTGCAACCTCCAAACCCATTTCGTCCAGCTCCAGACTTGCATTTCTTTAAGTGACCACAGGTGAGCCGTTTATCACTTCGGGCCTCCAGCACTAAGCCCATGCCCCTTTCCTTAGTGTCTTACACCAATAATTCCCTACAGTTCATGCTCGATCTTCACTTCTCCACGGCCTGTGGTACCTACCACACCGGCACACCTCTACAGTACATCACTGGGTTAGCGCGCAAAGGACCTCGTTCTACACGGAGTAACAACAACGCAAACAATGGATGTACCACATAAATGAAAGTTAGAAACAGGCACCTGGTTCAGTGGCAAAAATCGCTGCTACAGCTGAACCAATTTAAACACAGTTGCGGGCAAGTGCGGCACTGCCAGTGGGTAACTTCTGAGGCCTTGCAAACCTCGCAGCGCAGTGACAGCAGTGCCGATGGAGGGTCCCGCACAGAGCAGCAGCCGCTGGGGACGCGTCCTGTGCCCGCCGCGGCCGCGCCAAGGTCGGCGGCAGCCGGCAGCAGCCGCACAGAGGTTGCCAGCGGACACGGTTTCAGCTCAGTGGGATTCCCCTGGAAAGAACACATCCTCTTCCACTAAATTTTACTTATTTTAAACAAAGCGCCCTGCTGTGAAGCTCCATATTCCTGTGCACGCGGAGAGTGGGCGGCACACGCTCCCCACCTGCACGGCCGGCCCTCAGCCCGCTCCCGTTTTCCAGAGCGGCTGGCGATGGCCGAGGTTGGCCCAACCGCGCATTACCACCACCTGCACCCTCCGCCAGGGCTGGAGCACATCCCAGAAAGCCCGTGGCGCTGCCCGGCGGGGACACTGAGCACAGGGACACCGAGCACACTGCCCCGGCGGGGACACTGACCGCGGGCACACGGCCGGCACGGCCCCGGAGCGGCTCCCGCCGCCCGGAAGAGGCGCTGCCGCGCGGAGCGGCTCCCATTGGCCCGTTGCCGTCACGCCGTCCCGCCCCCTCGGCGCGGCGCGAGCGGCCGTTGGCTGCTGGAGGTGCCAGTCGGCGAGGGCGAGCTCCAGCCCCGCCGGTGCCCGCGCTGCGCTGCCGCGCGGCGCGCGCTCTGCCGGCTGGTGCGGCTGCGGGCGGAGCAGGGATGCGCCCCGGCTGCGGGAGCGCGGCGCGGAGCGGCGGCAGCCCGGGTGGCCGAGGACGGCGAGCGCGGCCGGTAAGGTCCGGCCGAGGGAAAAGCGGGTGCTCGTCGGCGTGCGCATCCCTTGCGTCCGGTGCTGAAGGGGCCCCCTGGCAGCGCCGGGCAGCGGTGCCGGCACGGGCGGAGCGGCGAGCGGGCGGGATGCCGGGATGCCGGGGGCGGCCGGCGGCGCTGGGCCGCGGCGGGCAGGGGTCGCGGGCGGGCGCGGTCCCCCACCGCCCCTTGCCGTGCCCTTCGGCTCGGCGGTCCCCGGGTGGGACCGGCGGTGCGATGGGAACTTCGTCTGCCCCCGCCCGGCTGGCGGCGGCCGGCGGTGCCTGCGGCTGCCGCGGCGGGGGGCGACATCAGCCCTCCGGTAGGGACTGCGGCGCTGCCCCTCCGCTCCGCCGCCTCGGGAGGGCTGCCGAACGGTGCTGCCGAACGGTGGCCCCGGCGTTGCCGTGCGGGGCCGCCGGGGGTGGTGGCTGGAAAGGCGGTGTCGCGGGTCCCGGCTGTGCCCCGCTCGGCAGCGGCAGCGCGGACGTGCCCCGGGCCCGCGCTGGGGGCGATCAGCGCGGCCGCGCTTCTCTTGGGGCGGCGGGTTGAACTTCCCTTCGAGGGAGGTTTTTACTTGAAGATGCTCCCGGACGCCCAGCGGGGAGAGTCACCCAACCGAAGGCGGCAGTGGTGCTGGTGTGGCCGCAGACTGGATCTTAAAGTTGTTAACACAGTTAGCTGAAAGAAAAGTTATTTTAAAGTACGCGTATCGGCGACGGTTGATACATGACCACTGGCTATTGAGACGGAGGAATTTGAAAGGAAATCCCGTTAATCCCTATGCGCTCCTTTCCATTGTTCTTCAACCTACTGTACTTTTAATGACAAAGACAATATTGGATGTTGACAGTGTTATCAAATCTTGTTAATTTAGATAAAAACAGCTTTTAGATGCTTTTTAGACATGTCGTTGTAAACATTAAGTATCTTGATTATATAACGTTTCAAGGAGTCTGCCAGGATGTTGCCGGACTTTGTGATGAAGAACCTGATCTTCCAGTCATGGAAATAAAGAGGAGTTTTGACATTGATTCAGTACGAAGCAGGATAGCATCCACAACTAACAGACGAAGAGAAAATAGTTCGCTATCTGTTGGTCATTTTGCATCTCTTGGGTTAGGTATTTTAAATATTTAAACGCAGCAGAAAATGTAAAGAGAATTTAGTTTGATTTTTTGGGGGATTTTTTTTTGTTCCTCTGTACCTTTAAGCTTCCTTTTCTACTTTCTAGGCGTGTATTGATCTTGTTCACTCTTTCTTAGATAGAGTATTCTGATTAGTTAGTCATAAAGACGTGTTCAGTCACATGATGCATAACGTATTTTCAGAAATGTTTTAAATCGTGATAGATGCAAGGGTGAATAACCAGTGCAAACACCATTGCAACACATACATGCTCTGCTTTGGGGAGCAGAAGCCCGTTTTTACAGCTGTGAGGAAGGCACAAGTGTAAGAGATTCGAGGTGTAGAATTTAGAGCAAACACAGATTAAATATTGTTCCCTCCCTGCATAGTTACCCACTAAATAATGTTTTTTGGGCAGAATATAAATTGCTAATGAAATTTCAGTTCTTGTACATCTCCAATTCTTTAAATATCTTTACAGGTTCAGCAAATGTCATATTGTCAAACCAGTTTTTCAGAAACCCCATGTAGTTAACCTGATTCAGTGTCATCAGAGTATTTTAGATAAATGTAGAGAACCATCCTCATCCAAGTACGTCACACACAGTCATGATGCAATGTCTAAGATGCACTCAGTTTTACTCATGTGCCTCATAACATCACCCATGTTTTCCTTATGTGGTCTTTTAGGAAAGAAAATCCCAAACTGTTGTGGTTGTTTGTGGAAGAGAGCAGTGAAATCTGTAGGTGACAGGCTGAAAACACTAAGCTTTCCCCCTGCCCTCCCTTGTGAGTAACACCAAATCTTAATCTAAAATTTAGTTTGTGAATGAGTAAACTGTAGAACCTTCAGCACATGAGAAGCCTTTATTTGTGAGTCATTTCAGTGGGGCTGTTCCCAAGAGAACATGCATGCAGGAGAATGTATGCCAGTGTATTTACTACATAGCCAATCTTTGTCTTAAATACCTTTTTTCCATGCACAGTTCTTAGGAAACCTTTTCTAAAACATCAAAGTATTTCAATGCCGTAATTGCAGAAGTGTGCTCGATTTAGTGTTTATTCATCTTGTCTGTTAGTAAGTAACGAAATTTTTGGAGCAGCAATCATTCCACCATTGAAGTCAATATAATTGTATTAAGTTAAAAAATATTAATCAGCTGTAGATGTATTAATATTCATAAGTATTATAATTACATAATGCTCATACCTAGTTAAAAGTTAGAAGAGAATACAGAAGTTTCAGAAATTTTTAGTTTGCTCTTCATGGTTTTCTGCTATATAAAAGAAAATTATTCCATCTGTGTGCCTCCCAACACTCAGAGATATCCTGAATTTTCCTAAGCTGCTTTTGTAGTACTAAGTTTTATAGGGTAGTTTCACTATATATGTAACATAAGAAATCTGGAACTGAAGCAGCCAGTTCTGTCATGTTCTCCACCCTGTTGCTTTTTTAGTTAAATAGATAAAGATGGATACTAAAATATTTTTGATGTAATTTGCCATGACTAGTAGGAAAATTATTTCTTTTGATATAGCTAAGGAAAACAAGTGGTATGCTTTTTAGAACTAAGTATATTTTAGAAATAAGTACATATGCACATTCAGTAGAACCAATGAAGAGTTGCAGAGGCTCACGGAAAAGATGAATGAATGATGTATCCCCTATTTGTATTAGATTATGCAAATGGTACACTGATGTTTTTGGAAAAGCTAATGCTGTTTTGAACTGCAGTTAAAATAGACTCATAGCTGTTAGCTAACTCTAAATGCTGATGTATGGCAGCTCTGCAGAACTCTAGATATACAGACGTATAAAATGCCTGAGCATGTTCCCTTTTTGTTGCTTACCCACAGGCCTCAGATGTTTCCAAACAGTGACAGTATCTGCTGCTGCCTAGCAGTGCCATGGGCACAGTGACCAAGAGTGCTCTGCTTGAGCACCTTTGACTCCTGAGAATGCCTTTCAAGGAACTTAGAAAAGATACTCTTAAACAGGAACTGATATAATAAACAGGCTGAGAACACAGCTCTTCAACGGAGGGAGAGAGGCAAAGATAGGCAGGTCGTTCTTTGACTGACAGACTGCAGATATGTTGGTGGAAGAGATCAGCTTGCCCCAGAACAACCAGGAGAAAGAAAGGATGTACAAGAGTCTTGGGCCTGTTTGTGGCTACTATTAATACAGAGATGAATCAAGGTGTGATAATGAATGAATTAGAGATCTCAATTACGAAACGTCCCTCTTCTTGTATCACTACCCAAAATGTTAAATTGCCAGGTATTGCACATGTAGTGGGGAGTGGACACTTTTTAACCCTCTTGCATTCTGATTTTTGTAGCTCTCAATTCAAAGTCCCAAACTAGTGGGAATAATCTAGATATCTGCAATAGTTACTCATCAAAACTCTATTATTCCCTTAAGGATTAAATGTCTAATTTAATGCATATATAAGTGTATAATTTAATGTATCACTACAAATATTTATGAAATACATAAATATGCATTTTTTGCACCTGAAGAAGAAGTTATGAAATACTGGTGAGGGAGCTAATGGTGAAGAGTGCAGTGAAGGAAGAAAATGCTACATAACTGAAGTCTTGTGAGAATACTGTTGAGCTACATTTATTCATTTCTGTGGAGTGTTGCCAACATACCTCTTCCCTTTACAGGTGTTCTGTATTATCAGTAGTCTCAAAATATTGCAATTATAATACACCTATTTTATGTATAAACAGTTTCTGTAGAGAAAGGCAGGAAACAACCAATAGATACTGGCTTTTGCATTCAATTTTTTAAGAGTGCCATCTGAGTACCAGTAGGCTTTAACTCTATCTTTTGAGACTTTAGTAAAAATGTGAATGATTTACATGGCTAACCTTGCTTCCCTTTGAGCAGTTCTGCAGCTCAGCTCTTTGAGGGGCTGATGTTTGTTTCTTTTGTCTCTCAGCAGGTGGCTACAGTTTCACTGAAATAGCTGATCTTGCTGTGGAACATCATCTGTGGTTTTTAGGGGTCACAGTGCCTGAAGTAATATAAATATTTCCTCCTGGGTCCAACCCTTATTTTTGTTTAAAGATATAGTACTAATTGCTTAGCATAGGATGCTGTGTTGGAATTTATACTGAAGGACTGCTGTTATTCAAATCATACCTCCCATCTTTCACAGCTGCTAAGAAGCAGGTGTGTAGCCTTCATGGATTTTTTAGAACTCAATAGAAAATACTAATGGCTACTGAAGTGAAGAACATCAGAAAAGCTCTGCTGTGTCCAATGGACCTTCATATTCAGGGCTCGGTGTCCAGCAGTGACATTAAAGGATGCTGTTAGGGACTATACACAAACCTCACCATTTTATGAACCTATGCTCTTGTACTCTTCCTGCATGTTTGTCATATTATGGATGGTGGGTATATATCTGCTCAGTGTTTTTTAGAGCCCATCTGTGGACCTGCAAACCAAGAACTTGTCTTTTTCAAACTTGCTGATGCTTTACTATCTACACAACCTCCTGTGGCAGCAAGTTCCAGAAGCTTACTACTATTTAAAGAAACACTTAATGCTTTATAAACTAATGTTGTGCTAGCTTTGTGAAAGGTCCCTTAGTTCTATTACTAAAGGATTTAGCAAGCAGCTTTACAGTATTTACCATCTTCATGATTTGACTGATCATATCCTGCTTCAGTCTTCTTTTCTAAATAAAGAGCCCCTCAAGTCTCTTTTTCTAAGGCAGGCACTCCATCCTTTTGATATTTTGCTCTCTGACTAGAGTCTGTTCTTGAGATGCAGACAGCAGAAGAACTTGAGATGTGGATGTATAAATGTGCACTGTCTTCTTCTCAATGCCTTTCCTCATGATACCCAATGTTCTGCTAGGGCTTTTCTTGCTGTTGTATATAAGGATCTGTGACAGCTGGACTTTTTTTTTCTCCAGTCATTTGTCAGCACAGTGTGTATATGACTAAGATTATTTTCCATGAGATGTATTAGCCTACATATATCTACTGTCTACACTGAAGCTCATTTGTCATCTTTTTGTCCATTCTGAGTCCTGTACAGTGTTTCTGGAGCTCTTTGCCATCATGGTGGCATTAGTTCTGTGCTCAAAGACAACTCCTTGTCTTTGTCTCAATTTTGCCAACAGCATCGTACTGTGTAAGTTTTTTTGCATGTATGTCTGCAAGGAATAAAAGTGTCATGGCATATCAGACAAGGGTGTTCATAGTTTTAAAAATCATTTGAATATAACACAGGCTTTGGGTTTTTGTTGGGGTTTTGTTGTTGGTTTTTTTTGCACTTCTGGTTAAAGCTGTGTTCAGAAATCCAGACCACATAAAACAGAAAGAAAACTCTAAAAAATGCCATTCCTAGCACTTATTTCGACTGCAGTGAATGGGAAAGTGAGAATAGTGGTGTATGGTGTTTGATCCATGTTGATTGCTATTCAAAATATTTTTAATTAAAACCAAAGAGGCTTTTAAAAATATTGGAGTGCAAAGCGATATTTACTCAAATACCTTTAATGCTTTCCTAGCCTCTACGGATTCAGAACACAACAGCCTTAACTCCAATGCTACCTAATTAATCACCTTTCATTTGTGAGTTACATTCAGAGTAAGACGAAAATAATAACTAAAGCTTTTCTTCTCCTCCCTCCCAGTTGTAGTAGAGGTTGGGCTGGAAGCCTGCCATACAGAAAGCATCTCTTCATGTTCCTTGTTCAAAGCCAGGCCAGTCATTCCATACTCAAAGCATGGCACTTAGGAAGGCTGCTGCATTGCCCACAGCATTGAGAGTGAGGTTTGAAGAAACATCAGAAATGTATTCCAAGTTTGCTGTGTTACTACTTAGTGTTACTTAGTAATAAATGTGGTTTCACAGGACAAGTAACTCCAGCCCCTGTGATGATCCTATTTTCCCCTTCTCCCAGTCACAGTAACACCATCCTTCCTAACCCTTTGCAGAACTACTTCAGCACCTAAGTCTGGCAGAAGACCATTCCTCTGCCCTGGCCACTGACTTAAAAAGTCAAAACAAAACAGCCAGCTTGAATCTGTTTCCAGAGGACCTTATGAAGGCTGTGCAAGGGAGGACATAGAACTATGAAGGTAAATGCAAGAGGAGAGCAAGATGGTTGAACAGCAGTAGTTAATAATTGCCTTATGTGCTTGTCAAACCCCAGTCTGAAGTGCTGTTCTGTTTCTTGATTTATTGTTGTTCGAATACTTGGCAGAAGTACCGGGACTATTTTAGTATGCAGCCTATTGATTTGTTAATTTAAATATTTAGCTTAAAGAATTATATTTCTTTTCCTTTGAAAAAGGCCCCAGCTGCTCTACTACCCATTTATGAGGTCATCTGCTGTGTAAATCTAGTTGTCTAAAAGACTGTTACCAACTGAAGTTGGTTGCAGCAATAGGATTCTTCTTTCATTTTGTTTTGCACTGTAATACAGTTCATCAGAACAGCTTTTTTCAAATTAGCAAGTACGTAACAAATGTATTTCTACTACTTGATTTTTGTTATGGGTGGTTTAAAGTTATATTCCTGATCTATTAAATAGGTGTTGTTTGCTGGAATCTGTAGCAGCCAAAGGTTGCAACCAAAGGTAGTTTGCCAAAGAAAAAGGTTTTGGTGCATTCCATTTGCATGGCGTGCTTGAAACCCACCCAGTGCTACTTCATGACAAGCATGTTCCATGTGTACAAGTAGCTGCAAAGTCAAAACAGATTTCTGTTGGCTGATGCAGCTCAGAATTAGTTTAGTGTGGCACAGTGAGCTCATGGTAGGCTGCAAGGATGCCATGGATGGACATGAACACTGTCAGCCTGCAGTCTTTTTCCCCAGTACTTACAGGCCACAGCAGTGATAATGGCTGAATCTGTGCTGAATAAGTTTGGCAGCAGTGACAGAGCAGTGCCACATGTGCTGCTTATCTGCCTTAAACAGACTATCACTGTAAAAATGGAACTTGTCTTCCATTGTTCAATCGTGACAGTATCTTCTTCTCTTAAGATATGTGCAATCATTCATCTAACATTTTCATAAGATACTTCAGAATCATTAGCCAAATTTTACTATGTTCTTCCCTAGAAAAAATACTCAGATGTAGATACAATGGTACATGTAAATGAAGTCACACCATTGTGGGCATCCAAAAAATAGTCCAACAATTTCTTAATAATTTCTTTTATGTATACTTTTAAAGAAGATACATTAAATCTCAGTAATTCATAAGGTCTGTTAGGCAGCTAGTAGGAGTGGCATTAGTACAATGATAGCATTTTACTATAAAAATCTACTATATTAATATTTTTCTAAAGCTTTCAGCATTTGCAAGGTTTTTTCCATGTAGAAAAATCGTACATTTAACTTGGATTTCAGACTTTGTAGTAAAACCATTGGTTTTTATTTTTGCCAAGCTTTTGAGTATGCTAGATTTTTGTGCTAGAAAAGGCACCTTAGCTCAAATATAATCATAAACAAATTCTGTTATACATAGTTTATATTGTATTCGCTTAAAATAAGCTAGGGAGTAACAGAGCACTGCTAAAAGTTGGCTGAAATATTCAAATATATGAGGTTTTCATCACAAGAATTAAACTTCAAATGAAAGTTTCTCACCAAGTTAGTGACAACTAGGTCATGTTGAGTCTGATGTCTTTAATTTACTTGCTTGGGATTCACCTCTACCTAGTTTGTTAAAAAGCACATTACTGTTCTGAAATACTTTTACACAAATATTTTGCTGTGTTGCAGCTAAGGTGAAAAAATGTTTTGTAAGCCCTGAAGAGACTGGCCTCCTTGCTGGAGATTTTCATGTGCAGATTTCAGGTTACTGTACAAAGTCAAACATTCCCATTGATTAATCAAGCACTGAAGTGGGCCAGAAAAATCTGGAATAGAATTTGAGCATCCAGTCTGCTACTGATTCTCTAAGTTGGATCATGTTAAGCATTTCACATGGAAGGTAAACTGCTACTGGGAAAAAAGTTCTTTTATGCATGTATTCTATCTAGTTCATGAAATTAGAAGTTAATGGGAGTAGAATTCAACACATTATGTCCTAGTTATAAGTGAGGAGGAGATATTGAATACCCTTTTATGGGTATCTTAATCTGAATATTTCTCAGGAGAAAATAAAAATTCTTGATAGGTGTACATGAACATAGAGGCATCAAACAAAATACTAGTTAAACTAAGAACTAATTTGTAGAAGTTCTGTACTGTTTATCCATTTGTAATAGGGAAATTAAATAAATTAAATACTTCTGTTACTGCTGCTGATTCCAAACATAAACAGACTCAATCTGTTGAGAAGTTCCAAAATAAGATGTTTACTGTGAATTATTTTTTTATTTGTAGAGAAGAAACAGTAATTCTTTGTCTTTAAAATTTGGTATTGATATCTGCTGAAGTCTCCTGCAAACTGATTTTGGTACTGCAGCTCACATTCTAAAATTGTTCTTTATCATCTGATACAATGAGAGCTTTAATCTTATGAACAATCATGACAAAAGTAGGTAGTAAGAGAATTCAGTAGTAAAAACAGAAAAGCTCACCTGCAGGTTTGGGGAGAGGAAAGTCACACATAACATCAGCTGTCCACTTGCAGATTTCTTTTTCAGTTCATTTTTCTGAAACAAAATTCATTAATTCTTTTAAGAACATAAAACATAAAATGACACTGCAAAACGGTTCAATAAAAATTCACAGAAAATAACTGAAAAAGTAATAGGCTTTCCTCTGAAGGTGCTACACTTGTACTGAGTATCATGCCATGCACCAAGTCATAGTAAAATGTGTAAATGATGTGGATATGCTGCAGAAGTGGTGGATCATACAACAACCAATCTGTCACACTAGGTTTCTGCTAAGTTTTGTTTGCTCTGCAAGGACTTGTCAGAACAAAGACAGCCCACCTGGAGATGAAAAACTTCCTTCCCTGAGCCTCTGCCTGCTGTTGCATTTCATCAGTGGCTTTTGACTGAGGCATCTGACTATTGCTGGCTAGGTTATTGCAGATCGCTCTGGCTGGCTGTCATGGGATCACTGATCCACTTAGAGGCAGGCACCAAGGCATAGGAGTTTGATCCTTGGCCAGATTTTATCTCATTTAATCTAATTTTATATTATTTTAAATGACATATTACTATACTAACCCCAAAGTCTGGGGAAGTCATTTATTGGTTCATGTATGCCAGCTGAGGTTACCTGGAAATCATCTCCATCATCATTTGAAAACAGTGAGAAAGGAAAATTTCTTTATGACCCATAAAAGTAAGCAACCTACAAGTGGTAATCAATCTTGTCTTTTGTAACCTATGTCCCTATCTTCTGAGTGGTCACTCAGCCAAGTTACTGCACGCTTTCCTTTTGCTGCTAGAGATGAGTTTGAGGTGATTGCTCTGTAGTGAGACTTGAGCAAACAAGTCAGTTATGTCTGAGCAATTCCTATGCACTTTGTACAGTTGTGAGTGAAATGAAGACTGGGACCTGTTGTAATTTTTGTGTAAGACCTTTTGGGCTCTGGTGGTTTTGACTGCATGTGACCTGATATTTTGGAACTATTTAGAATTATTGTTAATGCAGTTCCATCAAGATACCAGTAAAGGTTCTGTGTGTTTTTTCTAACTTTTATAGATCTACTCAAACTTTTTAAAATTAAGATGGGGTTTTTCCCATCTTTCAAATTATGAATTTGTATGTTATTGAGGCAAGGTTCCACTTACACAACACGCAGTTGTTTGAAAGCAATTTTTAAGCACGGTTTTAAAAACATAACTTCAAGCAGCTGTATTAAAAATATTACCTGATTTTACATTTTTTAAAGCATTTTGTAATTCTCTTATAGACAAAGCACGTGTGTCAGATAGAACGAAGCAATTACTACCTTGTATGTTGAAACTATGATGATTAATACCAGAAACCAGTTTTGGTATCAGTTATAGTACAAATGCCTTTAGTAAAGAAACAGTCTTTGAGACTGAGTTATCTGTAGAACATATGAAGAAGATTGCACACAGTGCAGCACACACACGGTGTCAGCTCTGGCTCCTGGATTCTCTGCTGCTGTGAACCCCAGAGCAGATTTGCTCGGGCCAGAGATAATCCAAGAAGCAGTCCTGGCTGGATGGGGTGGATGTGTTTCAGTCACCCTATGGACATGGCATGGCCAGAACTAGTTGGTCCCAGCCACTAGAGAGCAACTGGGAGAGCAGGATGAGATCTGCCGGGTTGGGGAAGTATTTTTAGGTGCAGGGACATACAGGGGTACCTGGTGGCCCTTGTACTTGCCCGGGTGGGTGAAGTTCAAGGACTCTACAGCTTGGTCCCCTGGTTGAGCCTTTGCTGGTGGCACCACAGTTGTGAGAGGACACTACAGACTCAAGTGGCTCTTAACTGACTTTGTGACAGCTACTCCCCTTGTAGAATCTCACACACTCAAGAGCCTGGCCTAGCAGTTCCAAAGTGATGATAAAAATGCTGATCAGAAGTTTAGTTTCAACATTTCTCAGTTCAAAAATAATCCAAATGTGCTGTATGTATGTATTTATGCATGCCTACATTGTTAATTTGTTATGTTGTCTTGTGTACTACCTCGGAATTCTGTAATTGCTTCCATTTTGTATGTGTTGTTCTTATGTGCCAGGTCTTCATAACTCACTGGATGATACTTTTGCCTGATTTGTCAAGAAGGGCATGGTATTAATAACAGTATCTCTTCTTTGTCATCTGATAGACTATTTTAATGGAGGAAAATAAAAAAAAATTGTTTGACTTTCATATATTTTCATTGTTGAAAAATAAGATGTTGATCTTTTGAAGATAATGACCACATCTTTCATATGTAAAACCATACTGGTTGTTGTAGTCTTAGCTTTTTTTGCTATACAGTAGCTAGATAAGAATGTTAATCTTAGATATATAAGTACCATGTTATCTCATGGGATATTAAAATTTTTGAGTTGTTTTCTGTCTCAGAAGACAAAGACTTATAGTATTTTAGCAGTTCTAATAGGTGGTAATATGAAAGATAACTAAAAGAGCCATGGAGATGACATGTGGAGTCTAGAAAATAATGAAATCCAGATTGGTTGAACTGAGGTCTTAAAACTGGAAGAGTGGTTTTTGTTTTTTTTTTCTTTAACTAGGAAAACTTAGGCTAGAAATTTTTCAATGAGATGCAATGATATGCTTAAAGACAAATAGATTTCCTGACTCTGTAAGCAATACAGTTATATTGTAATGAAAATGCAGGAGGTGTTCCCTGTGAAGCACAGCACTAATATTTCATGTATAACCAGTATGGAAATGATTAAATTGCTTTACAAGCAAAGGTTGGTAGCATGGTAACAAGAAACTTCACAGGCCAATACTGCCTCTGTCTGAAGATGTATTGTTTTGTGTTAATGAAATACTGTAATAACCTTGCACACCTTCAGAGAAGAACCTCAACTACAGCTCTCTGGAGTTATTCTTCAAACAGTATTAATTATTCTGCTTAAGTAATTTTTATGCAAAGAAAAGTTACAATAAACAGAACCATAAGAATGAAATGACCATGTTAATTGTTAACAAACACGTAAAAGGTGGCCTAATACACAACTATGCAGATAGAAACAAATTATTTTTCAAAACTTCAAGTAGTTGATTGCTAAGTGGGTTTCACATTAAAGTCCTTATTCAAAGCCCACTGGACTAACTAAAAGTGATCTCTAGCACCTCAGATAAATTCCATAGGTCTTAAGTTCCTTTCTCTCTTCCATAAGAATGAAAAGTCAGGACCTTCCTGAATTTCACTGAATCCAGATTTCAGGATTTAGATAGCTTCAGTGTATTTAACAGCTTTCTCTAGAACCCATTGTTGCAAAGATTTATACTTTCCTTTTCCACAAAAACTGTAGCCTGGGGCTTCATCAAAATAGTATCTGTACCGAATTCGTTCTTTTATTATTTGTTTACTGTCAGGAACACCTTGTTCAATTTTTGCACTATATGTGTTCTGGAAATAATGAGAGAAATAAAAAAGTGAAAACTATGAGTTTGGGTGGAAAATTTAAGTTGGCAATATAGTTAATATTAAAGTTGGCATGCATTTGAAGGTTTTAAAGGAGATTTGAAGTAAAATTATATGCTCTGTTTTATAAGGATGCTTTAAGCATTGCTAGAAAGCTTGTATATTATTTTTTGGTTTTCTCTGAGTGTAACATTTGCAAAACTGTTTTTATTTTTTCTCTTCTGATCCAGCTAGATTTTCATACATAGGAAGGCATGCCATATCCATATGTTCTTTGTTCTTTTAAAATGCATAACTCTTTCATCATTTGGGGTGTTATACAAACGCCCCAGTTATTTCTTGTTCTGAGGAAATTCAGAACTGAACTAAAAGCTGTTACGTGCAGATTTTTGTGCTAGTTAGCTCAAAAGGGAAACAGCCTGCCTCCTCTCTTGCTACATTATATAGTAGTATGACAATAGTTCTTTTAATTAGGTCATTAGGACATACACAGAAGATCTGACTTAGCAGACCTAAATTACATAAATGTCACAGAAAAGTCAATAGGATGTTTGTTCATGAAATGAGAATCACGCTGAACAAAAGACTGTGCTATTACTAATAAAACTTTGCATCAAGGTTGAATTCATAAGACACTACCAGCTATACTGCATTGAACTCTCTGATAGAAATGCAGTTTGAACTCCAATGTTTATTCAATATGGAAGTGATGAATACATGGCTCTAATTGAAATGTCATTTTTTGTGCAAGGTAGTTACCCAATGACTGAAGATGAGTACTTTGGTACAGGAATTGGGCACGTCTGTTAGCACTGCTCTAACTAGGATTTATTTCAGTGGCAGTTTATTAAATATGCCAATTTCTGTATAGTATTTGACTTCAGCTGGTGGTGACACAAGACTTCTTAGAAAATGCATTTCTGCTTCACCATGTGAGATGCAGTTCAGGGCCCTGTTCTAGGGTCATGTCAAAAATTGGCATAAACTGTGTATGTGAATTTCATTTACACTTTTTCAGGGTCAGTTTTGCTAAAGGGTACCAAGGAAGATGTCTGAAGTGTAGTCACACAGCACATGCTTTGCTTTTAATCAGAGAGGTATCAGTCAACAGAGTGGGGGGTGGCTGTCCTGTTCCACTGAAAGGACAGATTTCCTTCTCTTCAGAGGTCTGTAACAGTTCCCAAGACACAGTTTCCTGAAGAGAAAGGATAATGTTATTCTGCTTTAGCTATTTTCTGTGGCTAGCTAACAGGTGCTGTTTGCTCTTCTGTCCTGAACTGCTGTTTTTTTGCCCATGCACAGGCTGCATGCCAGTGGAGGCTGATGTAGATCAGTCCAAAACCAGCAAACAGGCTCTGCCTAAACGTGCTAAGCTGGCCAGCCTCACAACATCACACCTGAAGGCTTGACTCCATTGCAGAACTTACCTGTTAAACCCTTTCCCTAGCGGAGGGGAGGAGTCCTAAATGTTGGTGGAGGGTTCTGTTCATTTGTGAAGTGATAATGAGCTGTTATTATTCTGGTATTACCTTTAAAATATTTTATGGTGTGTTAAAACGAATAACAATGTCACAGCAGCCACATCTTATTCACGAGGTGTGATGCATGAGGCTAGCTGTTTTTAAACAAGGACTAATTTCTGTCTTTCCCCAGATATTAACTAAGTTCACTTTAATAGATTTTGGATGACACAAAAAGCAATAGTCTACTTTATAGTTCTTTGAAAATACTTGCAATTCCATTCAGTATGTGAATGAAGTCCAACCAAAAGACTTTGGTGTTCCACAAAATAAATCCAGGGTCTTCACTCTTGCCAGCATGCTGGGAGTTAGATTTTCCATCTAAAATAGATTTCTAGCTCATGATTATAATTCTTGTATAAATGGTTAGCTTTTATTGGGAAGATACTTCTTAGTTTGGAAAAATACTTTTTTTTTTCCTTGGTGCTAAAATCATTGAGTTGGAAGGTTTGCAAAAGAAGCTTCAGTATCAGAACCCAAACAAGGCAAAGGACTAAAAATGCATCTTAAGGACCATTAGTCAGAACAATTTGAGGTGACAGTAGCCAAGGCTGTTTTATATATGAAGCTCATCAAATAGAAAGTTGGTTTCTTTAGCTGGAAAAAATGCCTAAAGGGGTATATTTTTGCTGTGGTTGCTAGGGAGCAGCTTACACTGTATCTGTGGGATATAATGTGAGTTGTGTAAAAGGCACGATGCTGATAATTTACCTCAGAGTGGTTAGAGCTGAATATTACATTCACAGAGCACATCTCATTGTAGAAAAGATGAAGATGAGATTGATGCTCATAGTAATGTCAGGTGGCAGAGCCACTGTGGTATACAAGCCCAGTACACGTGTCTGGCAGGGCATGTCAGTACTGCACGTTCCAGAGGTGGGGCTAGGATTAGGTGAGCAAAAAATTAATGCATTGGCTAGATGGGAGGAAAAACACAGCAGAGGAGAAGTAGCAAAACCTGTATTCTCATGTATTTGACAGATCTTTGGAATGAACAAAGTCCTGAGATTCCCAAATAGTGTTGTCTTTTTTTAAGAGCAGCTCACTTGACGGAAGTCTGTGCTGCCATTTGTGTGTTGTTTAACAAAATGAGATGGGTAAATCAGGGGAGATCTGACTAGCCCTGCTCCAAAGTGAAAATGTTCCACTGCATTTGGAAAGGAAACTGCTTGAAAACACAGCTTTAACAGTTCAATATTATTAAAACTGTAACTGCAATACATAAATCATACAGCTGTAACACTGAGTACTTGTTTTTATAGCACTAAGCATTTCCAAAAATTATCAAAATATTGCTATAGATTTCTATTTTAATATAATAGTTAAAATCTCACCAATGTTTTTTCCTTACTGCATCAATACAGTGATACTGTCTTTAGGTTGATTGCTTCACTCAGTTGAGCACTGGTGCAAATTTGTCTGACATATTGTACACAGAGATGGAGAGTGTTTACCTCAACAATTACTGCATTTATTCAAAGTGAATTAGAAAATCAAAAATGTTAAGAATATTCTTAAATTAGATGATTAAAGAACCAAGCAAGTAGTGTGATGTTCAGAGAGAAACAAAAGGTGTTCTATTTTTAGACCATGGTAGAATTCAGACAGGACATGAGTTGTACTGTGCAGTTAAAGGGTCTGCCATTTCTTGAAATACTGTATGGCATATATTTATAGTTTTCAAGCAATTTTATCTTTCCAGGCACAGCTGCCTCACCTTGAAAGATGCTTTCAATAAGCAATCTCACAGTAAGCTGTCTGAAAACATGATGTTATTCCTAACAACAATTTGAAACCCATTGGACTTGGCCTTCATAAAACTTTATGAACAGATACTATCAAAATGCAGCTGAAGTTAATGAAGTTATATACACTAGCTACACTAGCCAAAGATTTTAAAAAAACCTTTCATAATCTGCTTTTGCAGATTATTGATTTCTCCAAACTTTTCTAAATTTTAGGGTGGTTTTTTTCCTTCTCTAATCAACCTTTAATTATTTGACTCTTCCAACACTTCAGCTCCTTTAAGGTTTTCATAAGATCCAACTGCTCCTTTTTAAATAAAATACAATAACTTCCTTCTGTCGTTTTTATATTTTTTCTTTAATGGATTATATTTTTATAAGCTTTAATTATTATTATATACATTAACATGTTTTTCATTTGGCTGTTTGGGTTTTCTTTTGTGAATGAAGAATGTAAAATTAAATATTCAAAAGAAAATAGGACTAGACATTGTAGTTGCTGTCGTATGTAGTTGTCTGCTATCCCAGTTTTATTCTACTTCACTTCTGAAATAGCATAATGCATTTTTTTTAGTAACACAAAGAAGAATATTTTGTAAAGAAACAATCTGAAAAAATTTTCATCTTTCTCTTAAAATATTAAGTGCATTATTTCTATTCCTTCTTTCCTTCTATTCAGTTGAAGTGTTCAGACTCAGACAGTGGGCATGGGAAAACCAAGGCACAGACAAATACTTTTGCTTTCCTTGGTACAGTGAAACTATCTACCTGTTTTTAAAAATGTCTGTTGTTGCATATCTCCCAGCGATTTTTTTTTTTTTTAGTTGAAATGTTTGGTACTTACAATAGGATTTACCAGTAATGATGTTAATAGTCATACAAATAGTTTCTAAAATAACCTTGAAAAGTCTGTATAAAAGCTGCCTGGGACTAAGAGATTGTTATGCACTCTTTCTGAAGCATTAGAGTAGTAAGAAAATTATTAATTGT